TGACTCTGCATTTTTACTAAATTCCATTATATTGTTGTGAGTTTTTAAAAATTTACTCACAGCCTAATGTTAAAACTATGGGATAGTTTAACCATAGAAGGAAATTAAACAAGAAAATATCCCAAGGAAAGGTTACAACAGAATGATATAGAAAGGTGTCCTCTGAAAGGTGAAAGAGAACAGCACCAGAGAGTACACAGCATTGTTGTTATGTGGCACACAGGCATGTGGCATGCTGGAATGTTGTATGTGGTACACCGGTATTGTATTGACACACTGGCATGCTGTGTTGGCACATGGGCATGTTGTATTGGCACACTGGTATTGTACTGACACACTAGCATGTTGTGTTGGCACACTGGCATGTGGCACACTGGCATGTTGTATGTGGTACACTGGTATTGTATTGAGACACACACTAGCGTGTTGGCACACTGGCATGTGGCACACTGGCATGTTGTGTGTAGTACATTGGTATTGTATTGACTCACTAGCATGTTGTGTTAGCACACTGGCAATGTGGCACACTAGCATGTCGTATGTGGTACAGTTATTGTATTGACACACTGGCATGTTGTGTTGGCTCATGGGCATGCTGTATGTGGTACACCAGCATGCTGTATTGGCACACCGGCATGTTGCATGTGGCAAATGGGTATGCTGTATGTGGCACAGTGGTACTGTATTGACACACTTGCATGTTGTGTTGGCACACTGGCATGCTGTGTTGGCATGTGGGCATGTTGTATGTGGCACACTGGTATTACATTGACCCACTAGCATGTTGTGTTGGCACACTGGCATGCGGCACGCTGGCATGTTGTATGTGGTACAGTGGTATTGTATTGACACACTTGCATGTTGTGCTGGCTCACGGGCATGTTGAATGTGGTACACTGGCATGTTGTATTGACACACGGGCATGTTGCATGTGGCACATGGGCATGTTGTATGTGACACAGTGGTATTGTATTGACACGCATGTTGTGTTGGCACACTGGCATGTTGTATTGCACACTGGCATGCTGTGTTGGCACACGGGCATGTTGTATGTGGTACATTGGTATTGTATTGACACACTAGCATGTTGTGTTGGCACACTGGCATGTGGCATGCTGACATATTGTATGTGGTACACTGGTATTGTATTGACACACTGACATGTTGTGTTGGCACACGGGCATGCTGTGTTGGCACGTGGGCATGTTGTATGTGGCACACTGGTATTATATTGACCCACTAGCATGTGTTGGCACACTGGCATGTGGCACGCTGGCATGTTGTATGTCGTACACTGGTATTGTATTGACACACTGACATGTTGTGTTGGCTCACTGGCATGTTGTATAAGGTTCTTGGCTTTGTTGTATGCAGTACACTGGCAAAGTTATAGAAAGATGCTTCAGGCCCACTTCTTCCCTCTTAATGTTCCATTCCCTGTAATTTACAAATGACTCTCTGGATCTGTTCACAAAAAAGCCCTTTTCCAACTGAACCAACATGGCTGCATTCCTGACAAACCTCTACATTCAAATGTCAGCTGACAAACTGATTTGAGTTTTGTTATACTTTAGTCCTCTGGACAAAACCTACTGCCCAACGTTAATCTGTCACACCAAATGTGATTGCTGTTTGCCAAATGAAGAGCTATAGTAAGTTTCCTCCTATTTCTGTACCTTGATGACTCTCAGGGTGGTGTCTAGGTGCTTCAGTGAAAGCTGTTTTCTTAGAATTAATAGCTCTGGTTTCCTGCGTCATTACCCGTCTCCACCTTCAGGCAGAAGCACTTAATGCCCCAGTCTGAGGAGTGCCTTTTCTGTTTTTAGTTCGAAATATTTGAGGTATGCCTCAAATAGCCCTTAACTTCTGGGTGTCTGTCCTTCAGGCCAAGTCAGCCCTAGGGGCACTTACCACCCACAAACTGTAACCAGAGAGCAACAAGGGGCGAGTGTGCTTGGAACCTCAGCCATGTCCAAGGTGCCAGTGAGGAGAAAACAGAAAAGGAAGAAGATGGAAATGGTGCCAGAGGAAAGAAGAGGGAAACAGTGGTGCTCAGAGATCAGCTCAGGCTGTCCCTCCTGTCTTGGCAGAGATGGGTTTTGCAGGTCCTTGCAAAATCATTGCAAGGACAAGCCAAAGGAGGCCGCGTTGTCTCTATCGACAGTGGTTTACCCCGTGGGCCAGGCTGCCCTGCAGGAGCCACAGATTTCTCACATGCAATGTCTACGAACGGAAAAGTCTTATTCTGATGTTTTTCAAATATGCACAGATCGGGTGTGGATGATGAAACACTTCTCATTTGTAAATGTATAGACTTTTGTCATGTCTATTTTTTTTTTCTGAGCACCGGACAACCGAAGCACAACTATTACCACACAGGTCTGTGAAGTTTTTCATGTTAAGGGAGAGGGGGGGCTTTTTTTTCAAAGGTATATGGCACCTTCAAGTAGGAGCTCATGCCCTATGTATTTTATATATATATATATAATTATACATATATTAATATAGTTAGGTCCTAAATGTCCACAAATAAGGGACAGAAAAGTAAGTATGGTATAGCACAAGGGTCAGTGAACCATGGCCCGTGACCTGTCTCTGTAGCTTACTGGAACACAGCCATGCAACTTGTTTGCATATTGTCTGTACACTGTACAATATAGTTGGGACAAAGACCGTATGGCTCAGAGAGCTTAAAATATTTACTATCTGCCTCTTTAAAGTTTGCAGATCCCTAGTACAGCATATCCTGAAACACACTGCAACTATTTAAAAACAAAGTCAACACCAACTATATACAGGAATGGGGAAAGCTGTCTAGACACTCTGCCTTCTGAAAAGAGCGGGCCCCATCTGCTTGTTTGGGTTGTATTCCACAAGAGCAGGATTTCCAGCACTGGGGAAGAATGCAAACCTGGGAGGGAAAACCAGACCTAGGCACCAATGCCCCTGTCCATCACCAACCTTGCAGAGGCCCAGTGGTTCCTCCAAGACTCCACCCCCTGCATGGTTTATCCAGGGGGTCCCCTGAGGCCAAGGACTAGTGAGAGCTGAGGAGGGAGCATCCCTTCTTCCCTCCCTGGTTCTGAAAATGATAAAGAGGAAAAGAGCAAGGATGGAAGCTCACATATGACTGTGGCTTTAGGGCAGTTTATCTACATGGAGCCCTAGAATCAAGCAGACCTCCCTACTGCGCTGCAGTTGCACCAGGCTCCCTGACTGGCATGTGTGGATGCCCACTGAAATGGAGGTGACAGGTCCATACAGGTGTACTACATCCCTTTGTCAGGACAGCACAGTAAATCCTGAACACAAACACACCCAAGCTGGGGACCCTGGGCCCTCTGAGGGCAGGGTGAGTGGGCATTTTTACTGTAGCACTCACTGGGTATATAATCTTAGGCAAGTTCTCTTCCGTTTTATTTATAACACGGTTAAGTATGGGGATTAAATAAAACACTGCATGCCAAGGCCTGAGCACAGTACCTCCCATTCACCAATGCTAATATTTAATAAATGTTGTCTTGTGTTTCGACAGTAGTCCAGTTTTTAGGACATGTCCCTATCTGCTTCTGTGATGTATAACACCTCCTAACTCCCTCGCAGTCGTTCTGATTGTTGACTGACAGGCATGAGAATGCTATGAAAACTGTAAATTCTGAGCCAAGAGTTTAAAAAGTACGAATTAGGGAAGCCCAGGGTGGCTCGGTGGTTCAGCCCCCCCTTCAGCTGAGGGTGTGGTCCTGGAGACCCAGGATCGAGTCCCATGTCAGGCTCCCTGCACAGAGCCTGCTTCTCCCTCTGCCTGTGTCTCTGCCTCTCTCTCCCTCTCTCTGTGTCTCTCATGAGTAAATAAATAAAATCTTTAAAAAATAAAAAAATAAAAAGTACTAATTAGTACACACTTTACATAAAAAACCATACTCACAGGGAAGTCTATAGTCTAAAATGCTTTTATTTTAAAAAAAAGGGAAGGTAAAGACTCAGAATTCAAAATCGCCAACTGAACACATATATTTATCTCCTATTCCTCCCAAACCTCAGTCACTAAAATGACAAAAAAGCAGAATAAAAGGGTTAAACACCCACCATAAAGAATGGAAAAGGGACATGTCTGACAAGAGATTCAAAATCCAAACACATTCCAGAAAACTGCAAACAGATGGTGGTCCTGTATTTAATGACCGAACTTCCATTCAATAAAAATCACAGACAGCACCCCAACTGTCTCTCCTACACCCAATTCCCTAGTTCCTGGTAAGAAAGGCCAAGAAAGGGAGAGGCAGCAACACTCTGCCTCTGCTGGCCTCATGTCCCAGTCCTTCTGTTGACCGGGGGCTCAGGGCTGATGCATAGGACGTCCACCCCCATTCCAGCCCAACAATCTCCTTTTCAGATTGGAAATCAGAAGCAAAAAATGTGGCAAGGTTTGCTCCAGTTCAGTGCAGCTCAGGGTGAAGGCCAGCAGAGACCTAGGCCTGCCCCACACTCCTCCACCCTCCCCACCCAAAGGCACCCACCACCAGCCCATCCCTAAACCCAAGGGTATCAGAACATGATCAAAGTACAACTTCTTGCCCTTCCTTTTACAAGTGCTGAGTCACATGGGAAGTAGACAACCAGTGAAAGGCCACACACAGAGCCCCTCACAGCCCCTCTCTCCTTACAGTGCAGTGCTTTCCTCCTACTTCTTCTTGCAGGACTGTGGTCTGTTTTGAGAATATCAGAGGTGCTGTGAGGATGGCACATCCAACTTCTACTTACAGCTTCAGAATCCGTAGAGCCTGCCCTGCCCACCCCCCAGATACCCTCCAGCGTCAGAGCAAGCCACCGCTCCATCCCACCAACAAAGAAAGCAAAAGGAGTAGGATTTGGTATACAACTGTTTAATAGAAACCATTCATTGACTGTAAATGCTTCTATACAAAATAAATCTTTGTTTAAACCTGTTTAAGAAGTCACACCCACCATAGGAGGTGATCAAATGCATTAGGTGAAGTTACCTAAAAGGTGTTCGCAAGCTGTTTAGAATCTCAGCAGAGGCCTGCAGAATCTTTAGCTCTTCTGTCCACAATGTTTCTACTAAAGTTAGCTGGTTTAGCAAAGTCACTTCTTCATCTTTCATATGAGAAATCTGGAAGGTATTTTAAAATTAATTTTGTTTTACTGTAGTAAAATATACATAAACATAAAATTTAACATTCTGGCCACTTTGCAGGGATAGTTCAATGGCATTAAGTTATGCTCACAGTGTCCTGTACCTGTAACCACTATGTCTCCCCAGGATCCCTCCCTCCATCGTCTCTAACAGAAACTCTGCCCCATTACACAGGAACTCCCTGTTCCCCCCACCTCTAGCCCCTGGTAACCATAACTCTACTTTCTGTTTCTAGGAGTTTGCCTATGCTGGATAACTCATATAAGTGGAATTACACAGTATTTGTCTTTTTGTATTCTGGATTATTTCACTTAGCATAATGTCTTGAAGGTTGATTAAAATTATTTTTCAGTCCCAGTAATGTTTTCATTAAAGTGAGCTGATTTCTCAGGGCATCTGGGTGCCTCACGTGGTTAAGCTTCTGCCTGCCTTCAGCTCAGATCGTGATCCTGGGGTCCTGGGATACAGCCTCACGTCAGGCTCCCTGCTCCATGGGGAAGTCTGCTTCTCCCTCTGTCCCTCCCCCTTGCTCATTCTCTCTCTCTCTCTTTCTCTCTCTCTCTCTAACAAATAAAATCTTTTCTTTTTTTTGTTTTTAAAGATTTTATTTATTTATTCACAAGACACACAGAGAGAAAGGCAGAGACACAGGCAGAGGGAGGAGAAGCAGGCTCCATGCAGGGAGCCCAATGTGAGACTCGATCCCAGGACTCCAGGATCACGCCCTGAGCCAAAGGCAGACGCTCAACCACTGAGCCACCCAGGCGTCCCAATAAAATCTTTTCTTAAAAAATGAGCTGATTTCCCATTTCACTAAAACATTTACTAAATAGAAATATTTTTAAAAGAGTACTTGAAAATTCATCCAATAATTTTACCTATCGAAGACATAAACACAATGTTAACAGACAAAAATCCCAGAAATTACATCAACATTCATCTATTTTAAGGCATCAAAGAATGCCCTAACAAGGTGTAACATGTACAAAGCAAGTAACTTCTTAATCAAAATACGTCTTTAACAAAAGAATGCAATGTTCTAGAAACATACCTTTCGAAGCATAGCATTGGTCTCTTCTATGAAATATTGGCATATTTTCTGAGCTATGACCAAACTTGTCTTCTCATTTGTATCTGAAATGACTTCCCCAAGAAGTATTTTTTTCCAGCATGTACTAGAACCAAATTGTTCAGTAAGGTAATGTCAGCAGGCTCTCAAAAAGTAAAGAAGGCTTTTTACACTTCAACACAACAAACTCTTCTCCTATTTTTCCAGAAGCATTAATAAACTCACTCCATTAGCAGATTTCCTAAAACCTCCCACCACATGTAGCTCCTGTGCTGAAGCAGATAAGGTACAGAAGAAGGAGGAAGAGCTGAGAATAAGAATCAAGGGGACTGACGCTCTTTGCAGGGAGGGACTGAATTCTATTATCACTGCAATCCTGTGTCTGGCACATAAGTGAAGTGGAGTTACGCCCACCAGCCATGGGAACAGGGAGGTGACTCGCAGCCCAAAGGACTAAGGGCTAAGGAGCAAAGGCAGTAGAACTTTCCTTCTCTTCAAGTGACAGTCTTTCCTAAACTATGGCAAACTGAACAGATGTTTCACAAGGTAAAATGCTCTGGAGATGGAAAGAGGAACCTATAGTGAAGCCCTTCTGTACAGGCAGGTCATTCCCATTTTATACAATGAAAATACATGGAAATGGGGCTCAAGGGGGCAAGTGGAGCCAACTTCCTGCAGGCAGAGAAGTGTAAGTGTTTCAGGATAAGCAAGAGGGAGCTACAGCAGGACGCTGAGCCAGAAGGTGGCAGAGCCAAATCTCTATGACAGCAAGAAGCACTAAGTAGAAAGGAGGAGGGTGGAGGAACACTGTGGATGCAGAGAATCCAAAGCAGAATGGCTAAGGAGGGGAAAGGTAAGGTGACAACTGCCACATCAGAGTGCAAGTATACCGAAGTCACTGAGAAATTCAGAACAGCTGACAAGATTGTCACATGAAAGAAAGTCTTAAATGTCTTCACCTTTAGAGACAACAATTGAAACCTCAGGAACAGCCACAGTCTCAGGAAAGAAAAGAAAGAAGGAAATCACTACACACCAGGCACAGTGTTTCATATAAAACAATCTTCTAATCTAATCTAATCTTCACAATTTCCTAGCAAAGAAAGCATTTAGTGTTCCCATGTTAGACATAAAGAAACTGAGATCAGGAACGGTAAAGAACTCACCCTAAGTGACAGCACTAATGAGAGATGGGAAGAGCATGCAAACATCCAGCTGGATCCCCACCACACATGGCACCTGTCCTGCCACACCACCCAGACCATTAGGAACAACTCAAAGGGAGGAAAAGAGGCCTCAGGTGACCTCTGGGAAATAGCCTGTTTCATTTAATTTGAGGTAAGTGCCTAAGAAGGACTACTACCTTTTCTACAAAATATGGGCACACATGAGATGAAATAAAAGGTAAGATGAATGGACAGTGAAAACAAGACAAGGGAAAGGTGAAAGGAGGAGGGATAAGATACAACCAGGATACATTGCATGCCTTAAAAATCCTGCACATTTGGACGGGCTACACATTTGTCCTGAGTTTTCTAGCAAACAATAAAGAGAAGGAAATGTATCAGATACAGAATCAACAGTGACTATAAGATAAAAACACAACATGTGCTGAGAATAAACACATCTATTGGTGTTGAGATCAGGGAGTAATTTTTCCTCAGAGTTCCTACAGAAAATTAGGTAAGCGATATCCTGACAGGAGTCATTGAATGAGCATCAACTACTTGAAGGCATCTCTATACATTATCCCCTTTAGTCCTCCCAACCACTCGTGGATGGGGTCACCATCTTAGGCAAGTCCACTCCTCATATGGTTTCTCTCATCTGAGCTTTTGCTAAGCTAAGCAGTGGATCCAGGCTGAGAGAGGTCCCTGCACTGGACAGTCTTTTCCATGCTGGGGGGCGAGCGGGGGGGACTCGCAGCCTCAAAGTAATGTGTGTCTATACCGAGGGCCCCTTCTACCTGCCTCCTCCATGAAATATCCAGGCCTCTCCTTTACCAAGGGGCTGGACATGTGCCCCAGGATAGAACCAGGTGGGAGGAGTTGTTTGCCCCCAGGAAAAAACAATTCCTCAGGGACTTCAGGGACAATACTCAGGGACTTCACTATAAAGTGCCAATGCTCATATTCTTTAAATTATTTACTCTAAGGAATGCCTGGATGGTTCAGCCAGTTGACCATCTCTCAATTTTGGCTCAGGTCATGCATGATCTCAAGGTCCTGAGATGGACCCCCGTGTCAGACTCCACGTGCAGCACAGTCTGCTTAAGATTCTCTCTTTCCCTCTCCTGCCCTTCTGACACTCACATGCACGTGATCGCGTGCATGCGCACGCTCTCAAATAAATAAATAAATAAATAAATAAATAAATAAATCTTTTAAAAACATATACAACTTGATGGGACAAACACTGGGTGTTATGCTATATGTTGGCAAATCAAACTCTAATAAAAAAATTTTTTTTAAAGATGAAAAAAAAAATATATATATACACACACACACACACATATACTCTAAACAACCAGCTGCAGGTCACCAGGGAAAAATACCTGAGAATAAAAAGTTCTCAGGCCCATGTACTCTGATTACAACTCTAAAACCAGAATTCCAGAAATGGTGAAAACTTAGTATTAAATCGCTCACAGCACGGGCAAGTTCCATAGAGGCTAAGCCTCCTGGTATACAAGATCATTCCTTCCTCCCCCTCCCAGAATGGGTATTTGAATGTAAGCCAAGAGAAGCCCCAAGGTTACCTCCAGGTTGTAACTACAGTTCATGACCAACATACATGAAACTTACAATTCTTCGGCTTCCAGACATAACAACTTAAGAGCTGTGAGCAACCTCCAAGATGGTCCATCCCATCCAAATGTCAAATTTCTAAAGCATAAAAACAAATAAAAACACACCTGTCATTCCAATATTTCATGACACCACGGCAAATGGCTGAAGAGCCAACTATTTTCTGAAGGGGCTAAACATTATGTAACTTGTATCTTGGTCACAAAGGCAAAAGAGAAAAATAAGTCTGCAAATACTTAAGAATAAAGCCAGAGTTAAAAAAAAAAAAATTCTTACTGTCTGTTTAAAAAAAAAATAGTAAAAGGGGCACTTGAGTGGCTCAGTTGGTTCAGCATCTGCTTTCGGCTCAGTTCAGGATCCCAGGGTTCTGGGATCGAGCCCCACATCAGGATCCCTGCTCACCAGAGAGTCTGCTTCTCCCTCCCTCTCTGACCCTCCCCCTTGCTCATGCTCTCTTTGCTCATTCTCTCCCAAAAATAAATAAATCATTAAAAAAAAAACAAAGGTAAAAAACTTTCCAATTAATTTTGATAAGGAATTGAATCTGCATGAGGAAGCCAGAGGAAAAGGGCCAGTGTCACAGGTCCTAGTGAGACGAAAGATGAAGAATCAGTATTTCCCTGGGCATCAAATGGCAGCCACAGCTGCCAGATTGCCCTCACATTGCTCTTGGACCACTTAAAACTTAGTTTTATTTACAGAAGAAAATCTGAAAGGAAGAGCCTCAAACCCTGTTTATCCCACCTGGCGTAGAATCACCTGGCCAAAGCTCCCAGCCCGGTGCCCTAAGTGCTTGCGCCACATTGCTGGGTGACTTAGGCCAGTCTGGCCTGCAGTAGCTCAATGCCATTTCACCATACCCTGTGTTGGAGACAAACAATGGACTACCAATCTAGATCAACAGGGCTTTCTGTTGGTATAATAACCCTTCCAGTTTGTATCTCATGTCCCCTAAAATAAGTTTCTTGAAAAGTATCTTACACCTCTTGTGAGCCCCACATCAAGCACAATTTACTACACACAGGAAATGCTCGATAAACACTTACCTGTCAACTTGTACAAGTCAGGAGGTATCCTGTACCTGGAGAAACACAACCCTCAATCTTCTCATCAAAGTTTCCTGAAGGAATAGTTTTAAGAGACAGAGAAAACACTTACTCTATAAAGTCATGATTCTTCAAAATGGAAATCTTCTTGTTCATCTGTTTGTCTGTTGTTGGAAGGTATTTAACAAGTATATCTACATTAAAAAAAAGATAGGAATGAAATAAATTTAGGGTATCATAAGACAAAAGTGTGGACCTTCTACAGTTCCTCTCCCTCCCATCAATGATCAAGACCTGTGTAAACAGTTTTACCTAATTCACACCAAAAAAGCTCCACTTGGGTTCAATTCAATGAGATCTTTATTTAGCCCCTGAAAACCTAGAGGAATTCCAGGGCAGGGGAGAAAATATCCACAACCTCAACACATGTCCCCACTAAGCAAATCAATTCACAGAACCAGGTAATTAAGACAGTGGCAGGAGGATGGAAGTTACAGCCACCAAAAGTACAGGAGCTGTACAAACATGAGGAATTGTTCATAACTGTAAATTTTCAAACGCCAGAATTCAAAACTGGGTATAAGGAATTGAAAGTCAACAGGTAAAAATTAGCAAAGCTTTTTGGGGTAGCAGCATAATGACTGATTTTTCTATTTTTAAAATTTCTTTTTTATAGTTCTATGTTTTGATTTTATTATATTTATAATATTTATTTTAAATGCAAAAATTACTAAAATGTAAATTTTGCTCAAACTGTTTGCAAATCAGTATTTCATGGTCATTAATATTAAAGCGATTCTGATAACAGGAGGCTAATCTCAAAACTAGTTTTCTCAGAGACCCAGCAAGGCCCAGTTTTTGCTTTTTAATTTCTATGTTGAGAAATAACATTATTATTCTGCCTATAGGATGGAGTAGTTTCATCTTGAACAAGTTCTATTTCCACTACAACTTATATTAAAACTACCCCAAATTATATAGTCGGTAAACCTCTGGCCACATTTCTTCATGGCCTACAAAACTATTTCTCTGCTGCTTCAGGAGGAGGGGGAAAGAACCATTTTTCTATGTACTGTTATTAATACTGTATTTGGAATTTCCATGGCATCAATTTAATAGCTAAATTATTTTTTTAAGAATTTATTTATTCATAAAAGAGAGACGCAGAAACACAGGCAGAGGGAGAAGCAGGCTCCCTGCAGGGAGCCCGACTGGGACTCCATCCCATGACACCAGGATCACGAGCTGAGCCAAAGACAGACGCTCAACCACTGAGCCACCCAAGTGCCCCTAAATTATTATTTTTAAGAACAGTAATACCAATGATGGCTAGTTAGTAGGTCACAGGAAAAACAACTGAGATCAACATTTTATCATGGCATTAAACCCCCAAAACTATGTAATATTTGTATCCATTATTAGCACAGTGCCTCAGACAGTAGGTGCTTAAATATTTTTGTTCTCAAATCCATCCTGTATTTAGTAACAGTGACAAGGTCTCAGCAAAAAATTTCCATTTCTTCCCAACTTTTTAATATTCTATTCATTTACTTAGTGGCCTTACTATTTTTTCTGAGTTATTCCAATCCACAGTACTGACCAGAGCTTTTGTTGTTTTTCACTTCAACACTCAAATCACATGGTCAGTGAGAGTATTTTCCCTTAGGTAGGGGAAAATAAATGATACACATTTTAAGGTTTTGCCACTTTTACTAAAACTTAAACATATCCTCCGATGGGGGAAAAAATTGTAAATTCTTAGTAAGAACAAAGTTGATTCCAACCTTCTGAGACATAAACACAAGCATGAGGATTATGGATGGAAACAAATCCATACTCCAGGAGCAGCCGCTGGTTATCATGAGGGCCATAGCAGATGAACACCTCTTCGTGTTTCCTACAATTTGAAGCCGTTCTAATTTCGTAACAGCGAGTTTCTTCATTAAATGCTCCTTTTACCTAGAAAAAAAAATTAACGATTTTTTTTTAAAGCCAAGCATGAAACTGCAAATATTAAGTTTACTGTATTAAAGTCAGGTGTAGCTTTCAAACACTCATCACTGAACTTAACTATATGTGGGAAAAAGCCACCCCTGCACTTGGGCCTCTGTTTTGTCTCGTCATCCCTCGTGAGGGAAGGGGTCCTGCCCCAGGTTCTCAGGATGGCCAAAGTGGACAGATATGACAGAGAACAGTTTTCTAGTCACATGTATACCCTGGTGGAAAGGACACCCCAACCACGCAGGGGCTACACAGGAAGCAGGCTTTGGAGTAACAAGAGGTGAAACCCTGGTTCCTGTGGGGAGATGTGAGAGCTCGTTGGAAGACGCTGGCAGGGAGCAGAAACCATCAGGCTACGGACCAGGCGGAGTGTCGCTAGTCCTGCTGATGGGGTCTTTCCCTCTGGGTGGGGGCATATCCAGTGAGAGCAGAGGAACTCACAGGCCCCTGGGGCCCTGCGAGGCCTAAAGATGTCAAGGCAACACACGAATTTCAGGTCTCACCATACACAGCCTTCGAGCAGCAGGATACTGGTTCTGTGATTATTCTGTTAGTTAATAGCTAACGGAGGAAAGGACCAAGATGACCTACTGCTCTCCACACTAAGGAGTGTGTACAAGTGCTGAGGCTGCCACACTACACAGTAAACCCCAGCAATGACAGGGAAAGGATGAGTAACAGGGCTGAAATCCCCAGCTTGCAGCACCAACAGATTACGGCCATGGTTTCGAGTTACATGCCAAGAGCCAGCTACAACACGCTTTAGACCAAGGATCAACAATCTTTTTTCCATAAAGGGCCAGAGAGCAATTATTTTAGGTTTTGCCAGGGCCCTTGGTCACAGGCTGTAATTTGTGGGGCCCCTACGATGGCTGTAAAATCACTGGCTTAAAGCACAAAGGCACTAACAGCCCAATAAAAATAAAGTCACCCCAGTGAGGTCCCTGTGTCCAGCACCCTATTATATGCATGCCCCCAACATTACTTCATCAACATCAATCACAGAAACAGCCATAGAACTTCTAGCTTCTTTGCTTAATACTGTCAAAAATTCATCTTTCTAAAAAAGTTACAAGCAGACAGACAAGAAGATTGCCTCTGCCTGAGAAAGCACAGTACAGGCTTTCCTACGCTGCCCTCTCACCAGCACGTGGGCTAGCCAAGTGTCAAGGATGCTCGCCAAGTGTGGTGGAGTATGAAGTGAACTACACGAGCAGGGGCCCAGCCAGTGTATCTCCAGTGTACCCTGAACAGGTTACAGGTAAGCCAACATATGGACACCTTTGCCCTCAAAGCCAGGCACTTAGCCCAGCATGCCTACAAGTATTGTCATCTGCTTTTTGTGCCATAGGGGGAAAGGGCTGGGGATGAGATCTAGGACTACCTCCCAAAGAGGGATTCTTTAATATTTATCAGACTCCTTTTCCCCACAAATACCCATCCATTCAGTAAAGGTTTATCAAATGCCTACCACGTGACTGGCCCTGCACTGGGTTACAGGGAGAAATAAGGCATAGCCCCCATCCTTAAACAGCTCAGAGGGGGAGAGAGCAAGTCAATCAAGGATCACAGCAAAGATAAACATTGACAGAAATACCACCAGGTGTAAGAGGGAATGGGACAGGAAAGCAATCTAGACTTTAGTCCCCATACTGGCAGGAGGAAAGAGGACTCTGCCCCCAAGCTAGGAAATGCAAGTGCTGCTGGTTAAGGCCACTCAGGGGGATAGAACACTAAGCTCTGAGGGCCTGGAGAGCAGGTAGGAAAACACGGAGGGGGTGGGGAACATACCAGGAAGGAAAAGGGGTCTGGGAGAAAAGATAAAAAATACCTGGTGGCAGGTAGGTTTACCTAAAGCCAGCAACACGTCTGTCTATAGTTTTAAAGTCAGGTTCTATACATCACAGACGTTCCTGTCAAAAAAGAACATGTATGCTCTCAACTTCTCACCTGGACTTCGGGGCTATGATTCAGCAGATCCAAGTATGGGGCAAGAGCGTAGGTGTTTGGCTCCATGGAGAAGCATTGCCTCTGCCTGTGCTTCACGTACACAGCTCTGGTGTTGACCGTGCACCAGGCCCATAGGAGGGCCCTGTAGCTAAAGATGCTCTCTACAGTCTCAGAAAACAGGGGCTGCAGGGAAGAGAAAAAGTCTCTGGAGGAAGAAAAGAACTCCTGCACACGGGCTCTCTGCTCTTCGGCCTTTGCTTTCAAAGGTTTGGGGAAAAGATTCACCACTTCTGGCTCCAAACACACAGGGCAGGTGTAGGCCTGCGGCAAAATCTCCAGGTAAGGCTTCCAGAGAGACTGGTCCCCAGCATGCTTTTCTGAAACTAAAAAGGTGCACAGAGCCAGCAGAGGAGATGGAGGAGGCTGCCACCTATTCAAAACGCAAGCCAGATCAAAAAATTACTTTTATCTAAAATATAGAACAAGACAGATAGATAAAAAGATATCCTACTAGTTTGTTCTGCTCCCAGAGGGACTGTAGCCAATCTATCAGGATCCTCCAAGCTTATTCAAATGCACCCAAGGTTTTGCTTCCTCAAGAATTTCCTCTGCAGAAAGTAAATGCTGATGTAAATGCTCTAAACAAGTCACACTGACTAGTGACGAGAACAGTCTCACTAACCCATGTTCCAGCTTTGCAACAGTCCTTTTGGCAAACAACCTCTTTGCTTCCAACTTGGTTCTCCAGTTTTATTTTTAATTTTTTTTTATTTATTTATGATAGTCACACACAGAGAGAGAGAGAGAGAGAGAGAGAGAGAGAGAGAGAGAGAGGCAGAGACACAGGCAGAGGGAGAAGCAGGCTCCATGCACTGGGAGCCCGACGTGGGATTCGATCCCGGGTCTTCCTGGAGACCTATGTCTCTGCCTATGTCTCTCTCTCTCTCTCTGTGTGTGTGACTAACATAAAAAAAAAAAAATCCAGATCCCTATATTACCAAATATCCTACTCAAATTTTCAGAATGATATAGAAAATATTAATACTAAGAGCATCCCTGCTTCTACTTAGGCCAATAAAGATACATTTGCCCTCATAAAAACATGCCAAGGAGACTTAAAGTCCAGAGCTCAGATCCTGAGTTAAGAAACAATACAATCATATAACCCCATATAATAATTATAACCATATAATTATTTAGAAACCCCTTCTGCTACAGGTCCCATTCACTCTGTCCTCAGAAAGCCCACCCCAACAAAGGCCCACTATAACAACAGCCAGCAAACAGTCCTCTCCTAACTTGGCCTCCTCTCTTCTATGCTAAACAAACCACTTTTTCATAATGTCAACAGCTTTTTGTAGCTGAAGGAGAATTCAAGCAAGTACAGTAAGGGTAAAATTAAGAGTAACAGCTGTCAAGACCTACTATCATAAAGAACAGGCTAGGAGGAGTCAAGGCCTTCAGAATGATGGATATCTGTTCTCCCACTTTATCTTCATTTTCTAGTACGTGATAGGTCAGGATTCAAACCCATATCCCAGGCAGCCTACTAAAACCCTTAAAAATGCAGCTTAAAATGAATTAAGAACAAACTTCAAGAACAGAGTAAACCCTTTCAATCATGTCAAATATGTATTAGGTGTACACAGAGGCTGGTCCTAACGAACTATGCCTTAGAGGACATTATTCGCCAATGCTGCGGACTTTAAAAGACAAGCACCTGCACCAGACGAGCATGTGTGCGGTCACTTACTTAGCAATGTATGTCCCTAAGTAGCTTCTAATCACTGTGTCCGTGGTGATCAGGCAACTCTCAGGCAACGAAATAATCATCTGCCCCTCCTTACCAAAAAGAAAGTAAAGTTTAGAACACTCGTGCTCTGGGAAGGTCCTGTGTCCCTGGGTCCACAATCGTCGTCCACTAAGAACCCAGGATACCCCACTCACAGACACCAAAGTGCCCACCAATCATCTGGCTCCCAAGTCCCTGAATCAGCGGGTGCAGGCAAGACTGCTCCAGTAGCAGGTACTACAACCCCAACAAGAATTAAAGGTGAATTATGTGACTGGCATCCACTAGCAGTTAGCCCTTCACCAGAAAGGAATGTGGAAACTGTCTGACAACTCAAATCATACTGCTCCTTCACGTTCTTATACCGGGACACAGTGTTATGGGAAACGGGCAGAAACCGCTGAGAACTCTATCTGGTGAAATCCGTGTGTCTGGCGACTATTCCCAGTAATGGCCTCCTCTCCATACATATAACCTGTGGCAACCAGACTGAGAAAAGGGCAGACCAGCCACCACAAGGGGTTCATCTTACCACCTGCAAAAGTACAGTTTTCAGTTCCTCCCACGGAGATAGAAACATAAAAAGAAAAATTAGGATGTCAAGTCACAGACACCAGAAGCAAAGCACCAAGAAGCCGGATGTTAATTAAGATCCTGGCTTTCGTTGTAACTGGCATCTAATGTGGTTAAAGATCTCAGGCCAAAAGCTTCTGGGCTCAATTTCTGGTTTTCTCATCTCTAAATCAAGATCAAGCTGGACAATCATGACAGTCCCTTCCTGTTCCAACATGCTACAATTTTCTGATTTAAAAAAAGCCCACTTAATAAAATGTTCTGTATCCTGACTAGAGTAAATCTCTTCATCAACACTTACGAAACTGGACACTTAAAATCTGTGCATTTCACTCTGTGTAACTTATGTCCCAATTTTCAAAAAGTTTAACCAAAGGTTGTATTTGAAAGCAGAGGTGAAGAAATGGCCAATTATTATTTCGTAATCTAAACAAAGACTACCTACATTTACTGCCATATACATGAGAAGTGTATCTCTCCTCCCAAAATAGCAGGAACACAATTATATGTTCCTTGAAAACATAAAAAAATTGTGCAATGTGACTACACTTAATATCACTGAACTCTACTTAAAAACAGCTAAGATGGTAAATTCTGTCATATATATTTTACAATTAAAATTTTTTAAATAAAAAAAGTAGCAAGAGAATTACATTAAAAAGGACCATTCTTTAGGCTAAACGTGTATGCACGTAGGTGGATTTTATAATTAAGGAACTAAAAATATACTAAGGAATTAATTTCTAGCTTCAAAGAAAACTGTGCATTAGAGATCCTTTAAATAACATGGAAAAAAATACAACAGACTCTAGAGATCCTCTGTGTCATTTACCTCCTCATTGCCAGGTAAGGAGAAGAGCTAATCAGGCCCCACCACTAGCTGTAGGCAATCCAGAGCCAGGCTCTGAGGCTCTGCCCTCTGCTGACTCAGGCTCTACTTACCATACCACGCACCCTCTCAGATGAGAGCAGCTCCCTCCCCAGGCACATTTATCATACATACGGGCTGCTCTGTACAATTTGCTGTGGCAGAGATGGCTAGCTGCCAACCCAACACATCCTTTCTCCTCCAGCCATTCGTGCAATCCTATCAGGAGGTCACTATGCCAGGGAAAGGACACAAATTGCCGCCCTCACAGCCAGCTAGGGCTGCGTACCTGGTCTATGGGAGAGGGCTAGAATTTTCTTAAAAGAAGGAAACCTGCCCTCCCTCACCCCCTTGTTCCATCTTGCTGCTCCAGCTCCAGGAACTATTCCCTGGACCTGAGGGTGAAGGGCTTCTCCGAGAATGTCGACAGAGAGCTGGAAGGAGTCTGAGCCTCTCACAGCTATGGGATCACCACACAAGCCCAGGTCTGCCCATCCAGGCCTGTTTACTTGAGAGCAAAATAAACTTCTGCTCTGTTATTTTGGGTTTGTCACTCTACGCAGCAAACTTAAAGCTAACTGACACAATTACATTCAAACCTACCATTAGGTAAAAAATAGCTATGTGTCTGAAATATTTTTCATTCACCTGATTTGAACCACAAAAACAAAGGAACAAAATCTACATTAGGTTTCAAGGATAACAGAAATTCTTACCCGCAGGGATGTTTTGCTCATCAGCCCTCTTCCTGTACCTAAGACACAAAAAAGAAAAAAGGGTAAATCCTATGGTATCAAAACAAAACAACAACAACAACAAAATCCTGTGTCTTCAAGATATTAAGGATATCATTTTGAGTAGAAAATGCGATTGAATGGGGCACCTGAGTGGCTCAGTCAGTAAGCATCCAACTCTTGGTTTCAGCTCAGGTCATGATCTCAGGGTCGTGGGATGAGCATCAAGCATCAGTTGGGCTCTGTGCTCAGTGGGGAGTCTGTTTGAAGATTCTCTCCCTTAGCAACCCCCCTCCTCTGGCTTGCTCATATGCATGAGTTCTCTTTTGCTCTCTCTCCCAAATAAGTAAATAAAGCTTTTTTAAAACATGCAAATAAACCTCAAAATTACACACACGGAAGCTCTCTCATCCTTTGACTCCCAGGGGAAACAGAGGATCAAGAAGCTCCTTCTAGATAATGTCCTGACCTCCTTTTGGGTTTATGACCCTTGAAGAGCAAAGAGTCAAGATCTAAAAATCATCGACTTTATATGGATCTGCTCCTGGGTGTCTAACAGGACCCTTCAAGCTGGACCCTCTCCCCTGGGGCCTACCAGCTGTGCTGGGGGCCTACTCCTGAAGCCCACCCAACCAGAGAGGCTGGACCCTCAAGCCACTTTTACTCATTACCAGAACCAGCCTTCCCAGTGATGAGGCTTCTTTGACTGGCTGACCAATAAACCCGTTCAGGTCCCACAAAGCCTTCAGACCACACCCTACCCTCTCTGACTAGGAAAGTCATTAGACTCTCCTTGACTGGGTGAGCTCAACAGGGGAGATCCAGGGCCAGCTCCTCCTGGTCAGCCAAGGCCTCGACCAGAGCAGTCACAGCAAGTAACTTCACCAGCTGCATGGTCAACACCACTACCACCCCGAAGTGTACCGTTCTAAGCCCAAGGCTCTGTCCCTCTAACAGTCAGTAGCTTTCCCAGCAGGCCTAGGTACACTCTGACCTATAATTATTACACAAGGTGTAGAATATTCATCTTTTCAAATTCATAATTCTTGATCTTTTTCCCTCAACTAGGAGGGAATATAGTTCAGCAAAGGTCAATCCCTGCAGGACTACTGGGAGCTCCTAGTTCATGGAGGGAACTCCTGCCTTGATCCTAGATCAGAAGTCTGGTAAGTCTTATTTGATGAGTCCTAACTCATCTCTCTACCCAGAAGCATACTATGTGCTCAGACACATGGTTTTGGTTTCAAAAACTGATTTAATTTCTTCCATGTGTCTCATGGCAGAGTTAATTATCCCTGTGGGCCAGAACCCTGGAACCAATTACTAGTGGAAGGATTTTTTTCTATGGAGTCATCCTTTAAAAAATTCTTTTGTTAAGCTAAGTGGAAATTTCTCTTCAAACTACATATGTGAATAGAACTTAGTATATGGAATAACCCTGGAAAATACTTCACCTGTATTTCTACAATACAGTGTTCAGTATCAGAAAACAAACCACAGTAACCTGCAGTTACTAAGGCAAGGTAGTAAGTGGCCATTAGGATTTTATAAAAGGAAAACTTATTATAGGCTTCTCGGCACCTGAAAATTTCTGCTATCATTAAGTCCACCTAGGAGACTCATATGTGGCCAGTGCTTTTGGTGGCAAAAGCAAATACTGGGGTCAATTCCCAAAGCAGGAATCAGGTGAGAGTCTGAAGACCTGCTTGCAACTTAGGAATCTTGTTCTTGCACCTCCACAAACTAAGATTAATTCCCCAGAATTTTGGACATTCTGATAGACTCCTATACACGTCCCCTCCTGTCAGATTAAGGTATATAAAGCACTTAGGGAAGGTATGTTGAAATCCCAACCCCCAGTGTGATGGCATTAGGAGGTGGGAAACGTTTGGTAAGTGCTTAGGCCATGAGGACGGAGCCCTCATGAATGGGATTTAGTGCCTACTGCACCACTAAGAAGAGACCAGAAAGCTGGTCCCGCTCTTGAATCTCCCGTCATGTGAGGACCCAACTAGAAGATGGCAATTTGCAAACCTGGCTTCACTCCACACCCGACCCTGAATCTGCGCCCACCAGGATACTGGACTTCCCAGGCCCCAAGACTGTGAGGAGGGAATCAGTTATGTTACCCAGTCTACAGTAATTTGTTATAGCAGCTCGAACTGCCTAAGACAGAAGGCTCCTTGGCCCCAGAACTGTAAGTAGTGGGCAGTGACCATTACTGAACCATTCTGCTTCAGCCTCTCTGTGACAGTGAACCTGGAGATGAGCCCAGAAAGACTTGTTGCACTAAAACTGGTTCACTCTCCACTGTTCCAAATGATAGATTATTTTTCAGACATTCCACCTAAACATATGCCAATCCCTGCTTGGTAATTTTAATCCTATCCTTCTCAAGGCCAAGTGACAGCTGAGGCACAGGTAGGCCAAAGGCACAAGTCCACTCCTAACACTATTTTTTCTAGATCGTCTTGTGAAGAACTCCATCCAATAAAAAAAAAAAAGTGTGGCTTTCCCTGTTTTTGTGCTTCTTCACACACGAAAACAGAAAGTTAAACCTGTCAGAAGTTGACAAAACTGGTTTACCATCTTCAAGAGGAGCAGCCCTAACAGGTAATGGCTCAAAGCAAATATTTTAGCTCAAAGCCATCCTGATGTGTAGGAAACAACTTTACACACATCACCTCATTCAAGCATGGCCACATCATTTATTTTGATGATGTATAAAGAAGTCAATTTGCTCAAAGTTAAATTACCTAGTGGGTATTTAATTATTTCAGTGTCCCAAAGGAGCACCCAGAGGCATATGATTTACTTTTCTGTGCAGTAAAAGATCTGCACCTGCTCTGTGATGTAGACTTTTAAGGCCCTGATTGTACAACTGTCTCTATTCTACAGCAGCTGAGCGTCTGCCTTTGGCTCAGATTGTGATCCCAGGATCCAGGGATCAAGTCCTGCATCAAGCTCCCCACAGAGAGCCTACCTCTCCTACCTCTCCCTCTGCCTATGTCTCTGCCTCTCTCTGCGGGTCTCTCAGAAATAAAATCTTTTAAAAATAAAACAAAAAAATCTATTTCAACTCACCTGAGCTATGGGATAATCTCATCAGCCTGCATGGTTTGAAAAATCCCACGAAACCACTATGAGTATGACGATAAGGACACTAGTCATATTACATAAACGTCTTCATTGGGAAGGTCTAATAAGTTCAGGAATACCTGCACTTTTGCTGAGTAAACAAGTTAGTTTTGCTTACAGAACATAAAGACTCAGGTAAATGATCATATAAATTGGCCATTGGAAGGATAGTCAAATTTGTGGCTGACCTCTCACAGGAATACAACAAGATTTTAGAATTATGGCTTTTATGTATTATCCTTACGCCATCTTCATCTTATTTTTCTATTCTCAGTTTCCCTTTTTTAATTTTTAGTATTATTTCTACCATTTTGGAATTTCTCCCAAGCCACTTCAATTTATTTTAAGAACAAAGTATAAATAAATATTAATAGCTACAAAGTAGGAAGTCTGACACACAACAGAAGATGTGCTCCAAAGGAGAATACAGCCCACCTTCAAGAACTGTCCCTGCTTTCCCATCACCTGGGCCCGCATGTCTCTCATGTGAGCAAAGTCCTGAGAGATGATGCTAGAGACCTTACCTGGAAAACAAGCAGGTATTAAGTTTGTATCTTCAAACTTCCTATCTTTCAGCCACTTCTTAAGCTCTATAAATTCAGGCTTGTAGCTCTCATTCACTAACCAGGAAAAGAAAGATAAAATGGTGACAAAAATCACTATATAATCACAGTACCATTTATAAAAAAAAATAACTGTCTCAGGGACACCTTGAGTGGCTCAGTCAGTTAAGCATCTGACTCCTGATTTCGGCTCAGGTCATGATCTCAAGGTCATGAGATCAAGCACCTCATCGGACTCCATCCCTGGCTTAAGATTTTTTTTCTCTCTCCCCTCTGCCTGTCCCCTCAACCCATTCTTACAATCTCAAAAAAATAATAAAAAGTAACGTCTAGACAGATGGTCACGTCATAAATGAGAATAAGTAATACCTAAATAATGTAAACTAAGAGAAAAACCATATGATCAACTCAAAGATGCAGGAAAAGCATTTGATAAAACCTAACATTCATTCCTGATAAATAACACCAACAAGCAAGATAGAAGAGAACAAGATAGAACTTCCTCAACCTGATAGACTAACAAAAAACCTACAACTGACATAATTATGAAAAATTGAGTGCTTTCCCTCTAAGATCAGGAACAAGACACTTCCAGTCAACCTTGCACTAGTGGTTCTAGCCAGCATAAATGAAAGAAAAATAAATAAAAGGTACCAATGGGCTGAACTGTGTGCACCCAAAATTCTACGTTGAAGTCCTAACCCCAGTGCCTCAGAATATAACCTTATTCAGAAATAGGGTCTTCACCGAAGTAATCAAGTTAAAAGGTAGTCATTTAGGGTGGCCCCTATTCCAACAGGACTAGTGTCATAAAAAGGAAAAATTTGGACATGGGCACAGAGGGAAGATGACAGAACAGACACTGGGGGAAGAGAGCCATCTACAAGCCAAGGAGAGAAGCCTGGAACAGATGGTTCCCTCACAGCCCTGGGAAGAAACCAATCCTGCTGACACCCTGATATTGGACTTCTGGCTTCTACAACTGTGAGACAGGGAAATTTACAGCTATAAAGGCCTATATGAAAAAAGACCTAGGGCGTCTGGGTGGTTCAATCACTTGGGCATCTGCCTTTGGCTCAGGTTGTGATCCCAGGGTCCTGGGATCAAGCCCGGCATCAGGCTAGAGGCTGCTTCTCCCCTCCCTCTGCCGCTCCCCCTGCTTGTGCTCTCTCACTCTTGTGCTATCTCAAATAAATGGATAAAATCTTAAAAAGAAAAGAAAGAAAAAGAAAAAATAAGACCCAATTAAAAAAAAAACAAGCAAATAAATAAGTGAATAATAAATAATATAAAAAGCAAAAAACAGGCAAAGGACTTGAAGAGACATTTCCCCAACGATAGTATATAAATGGTAACCGAGTATTAAAAAAAGCTCATCATTAACCGCTAGGGAAATGCAAATCAAGACTACAATGTGTATCATCCCATATCCATTAGGACGGCTACTATCAAAAAAATACAAAATGAAGTGTTGCCAAAGGAAAAACAAACTCTTGAGCACTGCTGGTAGGAATGTAAAATGGTACAGCTACCATGGAAAACAGTATGGTAAGTCCTCAAAAAATTAAGAACTGACCCCGCAACTCCAGGATATATATCCAGAATAGAAAGCAAGATCTCAAAGAGACATTTGCCCATGTTCATAGCATTACTCAAAAATGGCCAAGAGGTAGCGAAAAAACTAAGTATCTATCAACAGACAAAGAAAATGTGGCATCTATATGATGGATTATTCAGCCTTAAAAAGTAAGGAAATTGTGACACATGCTACAACATAGATGAATCTTGTGGGCCTTATGCTAAGTGCCATAAGCCAGTCACAAAAAGACAAATACTGTATGACTCCATGTATACAAGCTACCTAGAACAGTCAAATTCGCCAAAAACAGAGAGCAAAATGGTATCTGCTAGGGGCTAGAGAAAGAGCGGAATGAGAAGTCACTATTTAATGGAAAAAGAGTACCAGTTCTGCAAGATGAAAAGAGTTCCAGTGATTCGTTGGACAACAATGTGAATGTACTTAACGCTTCTGAACTACACTTAAAAATGTCACAATAGTTCAGTTTTACCTTATGTGTATTTTATCACAAAAAAAACTTTTAAAGATCTATAGTCAATAACCTGAATAAATGGAGAAATAGGCCTTGTTTATGGGTTGGCAGATTCAACACTGTTAAGGCATCAAATTCTCCCCAAAGGGATCTATAGATTCAATATGATCCAAATCAGAATTCAAGCAGACTTTTTGTAAAAAACTGACAAAATGATTCTAAAACCTATATGGAAATGTAAAGGACCTACAATAGTCAAAACCACTTTGAAATACTGATTTCAGGAACACCTGGGTGGTTCAGCGGTTAAGCGTCTGCCTTTGGCCCAGGGCATGATCCTGAAGTCCTGGGATCGAGTTCCACATCGGGCTCCCTGCATGGAGACTGCTTCTCTCTCTGCCCCTCTCTCTCTCTCTCTCTCTCCATCATGAATAAATTTTTAAAAAATAAATACTCATTTCAAAACTCATTATAAAGCTACAGTAACCAAGATTATATAACACTGTCATCAAGACTAGGAAAAAGAGGGATCCCTGGGTGGCGCAGCGGTTTGGTGCCTGCCTTTGGCCCAGGGCGCGATCCTGGAGACCCGGGATCGAATCCCACGTCAGGCTCCCGGTGCATGGAGCCTGCTTCTCCCTCTGCCTGTGTCTCTGCCTCTCTCTCTCTCTCTGTATGACTATCGTAAATTAAAAAAAAAAAAAAAAAATTAAAAAAAAAAAAGACTAGGAAAAAGAAATCAATGGAACAGAGCAGAAAGTCCAAAAAAAGGACCCAGACATATATAAATAGTTGAGGTTTGTTTTGTTTTTTTTGTGGGGTTTTTTCGTTTTGTTTTGTTTTTTTAATAGTTGAGGTTTTTACAAAGGTCCAAAAGGAATTCAGTGGAAAAGGACAGTTTTTTCAATAAATGTTGCTAGGACAACTAGATCTACCTAAGCAAAAAAAAAAAAGAAAGAAAGAAAAGAAAGTATTCCTATCTTGTACAACATATAAAAATTAATCCAAAATTGGGGTGCCTGCCTATGTCTCTGCCTCTCTCTCTCTCTCTCATGAATAAATATAATCTTTTTAAAAAAATTAATCACAGACTTAAATATAAAGTCTAAAACTATAAAGCTCCTAGAAGAAAACATAGAAAACCTTTGCAATCTTGAGTTATGCAAATTTCTTAGGTAACAACACCAAAAGGAAGATCTTTAAAACAACAAATTGACAAATAAGACTATCAAAATTTTAAATTTCTGTTCTTCAGAAGAAAGACACTGTTAAGGGCATGAAAAGAAAAGCCACGGAATGATTGAAAGTATTTGCAAAACACCTATCTTATAAAAGAATCAGTAAGTCAATAAAAATAAAGTAGTCAAGAAAAATAAAACAGACATTTTTTCAAAGATGAAAACACAGATGGCTAACAGACACATCAAAAGATGAACAACTCATCATCAGAGAAATGCAAATCAAAACCATGATGAGATCAACTCACACCTGTCAGGCTACAATCAAAAACACAAGAAACAAGCATTGGCAAGGAATGGAGTGAAAGAAACCTTTATGCACCATTGGTGGGAATGCAAACTGGTACAGCCACTGTGGAAATCAGTAAGGAGCTTCCTCAAAAAATTAAAAATAGAATTACCATATTATCCAATAATTCCACTACTGGGTATTTATCCAAAGAATACAAAAACACTAATTCCAAAAGATATGTGTACCCCTATGTATATGGCAGTATTATTTACGATAATCAAGATATGAATGACAGGTATCGATAGATAGATGAATAGAATATTAGCCAAAAAAAGGATGAAACCTTGCCATTTATATGGATGGATCCAGAAATTATAATGCTAAGTGAAATCAATCAGAGAAAGCCAAATACTATATGATTTTACTCATATATGGAATTTAAGAAACAAACATAAAAAGAAAAAAACATAAAAAACAAATTCTCAAATACAGAGAACAAACAATGGTTGCCAGAGGTGAAGTGGGTGGGGAGACAGATGAAAGAGGCAAAGGGAATGAAGAGTTCACTTATCCTGATGAACGCTGGGTAATGTAGAGAACTGCTCAATCACTGTATTTCACATGTGAATCTAAGAGAACACTGTATATTACCTATACCAGAATTCTAAAAATTAAGTAAGTCATAAACAAATAAATAAGAATTAGCATTTTCAGCTCAAAAAAGTACAAAAAATATATAGAAAAGAACTTACTAAGATAGTGCAGTAAAAAACACAGATGTGTAGAAATCAATAGCCAAAAGTACAAATAGAACCAGAGAGATGTAATTGAAAGTAATGTCTTGCTTACCATAACCACACAAAATTAAAAAAAAAGAAAAAAGAAAAAAGAAAACCGACTAATAAAAACATGGGCAAAAGATCTACACAGTCAACCACAGAAAACCTATATAAATGGCAAATAAGCACACCAGTCATTAGGAAAATACAAATCAAAATCATAGTGAGATAGTACTTCACCCATTAAAATGGCTATAGTCAAAAGAGCAGTGAGAAGTCAGCAAAAATGTGGAGCAACTAGAACTCTCATAAACTGCTGGAAAAAATGTGAGATTATACAATCACTCCTGAAAAACAGTTTGGCAGTTTATTTAAAAGCTCAACCTACACCGAAACTATGGTAAGTAAAAAAAGCCAAATACTATGTTATTATTATATCTTATGATACACTATAGGATCATATAATACTATAAAATGCAAATAAATCAATAGTGACAGAAAGCAGGTCAGTGCTGGCCTGGATGGTGGGGGCGGGGGGGGGGGCAGGGTACAGTTAAAGAGAGGCAAAAGGAAAGGGTTACAAGGGAAAACAAGGAAACTTCTTGAGATGGATGGACATGTTCATTATCTTAATTGTGGTGATAGCTTCCTGTGTGAACATACATGTCAAAATCTATCAAATTAATCCACTTTAATATTGACATTCATTGTATGACAATTCTACCTCAATAAAACTTTTTTAAAAACATGACCCAAGATACAAGATAATAAGGTTTCCAAAATATGTCACCATAAACTAAAGAATAGATTTTACAGTAGCAGCATTTAACCAGTGAGCATTTAATGAGCAACTACTATGCACACAGTACTATGTTAACCACAGTGGGGAATGTTCAACATGTTCAACTTCAAAAGTTAACAACTTAGCTAGGAAATAACACTTCCATAAGAAACAACTAAAAAGTCATAGGTCCTTAAGAATAACACCCAAAAAGCATCATAACAAAGGATGACTTTAGTGAAAACTGAAAATGGCATTACCAAAAACACAAGATCTCAGCTCAGTTTTAAAGACCAGAGAAAAACTGAAAAGGCAGGGAGAAGGAAAACAGGTGTTCTAGATTGAAGGATCATCAGGAATGTGTGGGTTGCGCGCAGGGAACAGCATGGAGGGAACAGCATGGAGGGAACATGCTTCTGGTACAGGAGGGACAGGATGGAGCCCACAGATATCATGCAAAAGGAATGAAAGAAAATCCCTGGAGGCTTTTAAACCGAAAAGGCAACATGTGAGCAGTCCCTTGGGAAAGTGAGACTCACAGCAACAAATGGAATAACAAGCAGGGAAGAAAAACAAGAGTGTAGGTAAACCAGCAGAGTCGCCTGAAATCATCTTCCAGTAGTAAAACAGATGGAGAAGCTTATGGAAGAAAAACTAGATGACATTTTGTAGGACACTGGCCACAGAGCGCAAAGAAGGAAATAGTAAAAGACAGCCTCAAATGGTGCTGACAGGCTTGGGGCCAACTAGGAGGAGTTTTATTAATTTTTCTTAAAAATAACAACTGCATTTACGTAGTACTTTCCCATTGGCCAAGCACTTCCACATACAAGGTCTTGTTCAGACTCCGTTACACTGAATCTGAAATGACGAATTTATACCCAAACACTGATATTCTACAGGTAGCTGGAGGTCAGGAGAAAGGTCAGGCCTGAAAGCAGAAACCTGGGAGTCATCCCAAGAGAAGACATAGTTGAAGCAATGAGAAATATATTCACAGTCCCACAAGGATTTAAAAAAACATAGTGACACTATTAAAAAGAGTATTTTTTTTTAATTTTCAAGTTTTTTTTTCCAACTCCAGTGAATTAAAATACAAAATTACTATTACTTTCAGGGGTAGAATTCAGTGATTCTACACTGCCCTACATCACATGATGCTCATCACAACTGTCCTCTTTAGTCCCTGTCACACAATAGACCCAACCTCATGCCCATCTCCCCTCTACTAAACCTCGGTTTGGTCTCTGTAGTTAGGAGTCTTTTTGATGGTTTGCCCCACTTCCCCCCCCCCCACGTTCATCAGTTTTGTTTTGTTTTTTATACTATATGTTGGCAAATCGAACTCTGATAAAAAAATATATACAAAAAGAGCATTCTTTAAGAAATATTCTCTTTGAACATCGCCCATATGCCTTTGAGAAAGGCTATGTGTATCTGTTAACGCTACTCAACCAAGGATTCCTTTCTTTCAGCACTGGCACCAAAAGATCAAAACTGTACCTCCTCTTGATACAGAACATCTGAAGAGTTTCCGTCTTCTGATCCGGCTCGTTCTTCCTCCACCCTTCTTCATCCTAAAATTGCAGTTTCTGTTCAGTTGCCCAACCTAAAACAAAAAAAAGCATCTTCTTTGCCTTTCTTCCCATTTGTATGATAATCACCATTCTTCGTACCTACAAGGATTTAAAAACACAGACTCCTGTTATTTATTAAACCGTTTCTCTTAAGTGTCTTTGTACACAAAGCATTTATACTGTGAGCGAAGTCGTGATTCCTCGTGCAGGAAGGGAATATCCATTATACCGGTCCTTCTGAAATAGTTTTATCTTGAGGTCCTATTAAACGCTGATTAATCATCAAAATCCTCATAACTGACTTGACAACCGTGTGCTTTGGTGACTTACATAACTCAGTGCTAATCCACATTCACTAAGCACCAATATACTTTGAAAGAACCAGAGCAGCCCTGGTGGCTCAGCGGTTTAGGGCCGGCTTCAGGCCCAGGGTGTGACCCTGGAGACCCGGGATCGAGTCCCACCTCAGGCTCCCTGCATGGAGCCTGCTTCTCCCTCTGCCTCTCTCTCTCTCTCTCTCATGAATAAAAATAAAATCTTTAAAAAGACAAAAAAAAAAAAAACAGCTAGAAAGTCTTAGAAGAATAAAAATCCTTTTTTAATACGAAGGAAATACGGATTTGTTCTTAGAACCAGGATACTGAGATCAATATAAGTAAATGGAGGTTTGCAACAGATTAAGGAGGGAATGAGAGCCAAGAAATCAGACAACACAAAAAAGATGATCATAAAATCTAAAATTACTATCGTAGTCTCTAACCCAATGAGATCCGTGAGCCACACCAGGGCGACAGACAGTGGACATGAACCCACTATGCAGCCACTGACAGGAAGGAGGTGCGTGCCAAGGTGCCCCCATGTTCAAGAGATCTTAAGTGAAAAAGTCGCAGGACGTTTAATGATTCCTTTTGGGTTTGCTTTTGACATATTCCGTTGTGTTCATAAAACAGAATTTAAGGAAGGATATTCAAACCCGTGCCTGAAGAGGGAGCTTTTACTATTCCGCGTCCGTCCACCCTCCTATTCCGGGACTTACAAACGCAGGAGCAGCGCGTAAGGGCCGCAACACGAACATCCCTTAGGGGCACGTACCTGCACTGTGGCCATACCCCGGGCTTTAGAAACCCACTACCGAGGAGCGCTGGGCGGAAACGAGTAACGACCAGGCACCGCTACCACCCCGCTGCAGCCGGGAAGCTCCGTGACCTACCCGAAGCCTGCGAGCCGGGTCCCCGACGGCGCGGACCCCGCCGGCACCCGGGGCCCGGTGACGGCAGGTCGGACCCCCCGCCCGCCCCGGCCTCGCTCCCCCTGCGGCTGAGCCTCGGTACCCCGGACGGTCCACCTCCCGGCCACAGGCTCCGGCGCATCCCTCGACCCCCGCGCCTCAAACCGCGGCTCCGGGGAGACGTCCGCGGAAGGACGTGCGGGCCTCGGGAGCCCCCGCCGTGCGCGGCCCACGGAGCGGGCGGGGCGGGCCGAGCTGTGCTGGTCACAGCAACAGAGTGGGAGGGTAAGGGGAGCTCCAGGCCCCCGGCGCCCCGCGCCCCCCAGCCGCCCTCACGCCGAAGTCCCTCTGGCTCACCTGGGCGCCGCGGCGGGCTAGCGCTCCAGGACACCCGCACTAGGGGCCCAGGTGACAGGGAGTTAAGGAGCCGGCCCAAGCAGCGGAGCGAGAGGCCGAACCAGCCGCCGTGCCCGCCTCGACGCTTCACCAACCCCGGGCCTCCGCCGCCGGGCGGAAGCTTCGCTGTGCGGGGGCTTCCACTCCTGGCGTGCGTCTGCGCGTGCGTCTGCGCGTGCGTCTGCGCGTGCGTCTGCGCGTGCGTCTGCGCGTGCGTCTGCGCGTGCGTCTGCGCGTGCGTCTGCGCGTGCGCCTAGTTTCCCCGGAAGCGTGGCGCCGCCCCCCCCACCCCCCCCCCACCCCCCCCCCCACACACACACACACAGCCCCACCGCCGGCGTCAGGGATAGATAAACGCAAGCGGCGCGGGAGACCGGGCTGCGCTCCCTGGAGTTGCTCTGCGCGGTCTCTCCCAAACTGGAAGCAAGCGGGGAAGGACCTTCCGGGCGCGCACCCCGGCTCCGCCTGGCCCCTGCAGCAGCCAGCTCCCCGCCTGCTCCCGCCAACCCCTGGCCTCCGCCTCGCCCTCGGGCCCAGCAGGCCTGGCAGGTAGCGTCCGGCCCGACCAGGCAACCTTTCCTTCCCCCCACTTCGTCCCACCTCTCCCCACCTTCCTCCGCCCCGTCGCACGTCTCCCCACCTCCCCCCACCTCGTCCCACCTCCCCCCACCTCCCTCCACCTCCCCCCACCTCCCTCCACCTCCTCCCACCTCCGCCCCACCTCCCCCCACCCCCGCCCCACCTCCCCCCACCTCCGCCTCCACCCCGTCTCCTCCCATCTTCTCTCACCTGTTCCTTGCCCCCCTCGCCCCTCCCCACCCCTCTCTTCATCCGCAGGCCGGCCTCAACCCCTTTGCCCCATAACCCCCACCCCACTTCTCCTGCTGGAGCCTGGCTATCCCAGATCCCCAGAATTCCAAATCCTTCCCGGATCTAAAGCTCAGCTTCTGCCCCCACCTCCCCACTCCACTTAGTGACTCGCTTCCAAAGTGTACAAGATGGAACGGGGAGAAAGTCACCTCCAGCGGAGAAACCTGGCGGGTACTGCCTTGGTCAGGTGATGAGGGTTAACGGTGATCAATGAAGTCCATAGCGTGCTACCCAGATACAAGAAGGGTTCGCCACCTCTATGGTCTTCTTCCCCCAAAACCCGTAACTCCAGTTCTTATTGAAAAACATCAAGACAAACCGAAAAACACGTCGACCATGTGCTTTGACAAAATATGGCCCTAATTCATGGGGGGGGGGGGGGGGAAGCAAACTCAGAATCTCTCATAAACCATAGAAAACGAGGGAGATGTGACAGTTACGTGTAATGTGGTACTCTGGAAGGCATCCTGGAGTAGAAGAGAGATATTAAATTTTTTTTTAATTTATTTATGATAGTCACAGAGAGAGAGGCAGAGACACAGGAGGAGGGAGAAGCAGGCTCCATGCACCGGGAGCCCGACGTGGGATTCGATCCCGGGTCTCCAGGATCGCGCCCTGGGCCAAAGGCAGGCGCCAAACCGCTGCGCCACCCAGGGATCCCGAAGAGAGATATTAGGGGGAAAGCTAGTAAAATCCAAATAAAGCATGGAGCTTAGTTAATACTAATGTTCCATGTTGCTTTTTTTTTTTTTAACTTGTAACAGATAATAGTAAGTTGTTAATAATGGAATTTGAGGGGATCCCTGGATGGCTCAGCGGTTTAGCACCACCTTTGGCCCAGGGCTGGATCCTGGAGTGCCCAGATAGTCCCACGTCCCGCTCCTTGCATGGAGCCTGCTTCTCCCTCTACCTGTGTCTCTGCTTCTCTCTGTATTTGTCTCTCATGAATAAATAAAATCTTTTTAAAAATAATGGAATTTGATAAGGAGTATATGGGAATTCTGTACTGCAACTTTTCAGTAAATATATCCTAAAATTAAGTTTATTGAAAAGTAAAGGGGGGGTAGGGGCCCCCCAGGAGGGAACTCCATTAAGCGTCTGACTCTTGATTTCCACTCAGGTCATGATCTCAGAGTGGTGAGATTAAGCCCTGCGTTGGGCTCTGCACTGAGCATGGAGCCTGCTTGAGATTCTCTCTCTCTCTCTGCCCACCTGCACCACTCAGGCACACTTTGCTCTCTAAAAGAAAAATAACAAGGGAAGAACGAAAAGTAAAGAGGGGGCTGGAAATAGTTGGTTCCAGATTTAGACCTATGATTCAATGCTGTTATGGAGGATCAAGGCTCTAATTTTCCACAATGTCATTCTTAGGGAGTTAGCTACTCACCTGTTAGTTTATTTCCTTATGGTGTTGCTGCAGCTCCAAGCATCACATTCTCACACAAATGCATTCAAGACAAGAAGAAAAGGATAGGATGAAACAAGTATTTTCCTTTTATGAGGGAGGAAAATAATGCATACTCCCATTTTCTAGATGGGAATTGACAAGGATTCTCTCCTTAAGCAAACTCTAGCCAGGCTCTTCTGACCTTTCCTCTCAACTAGACCTCAGTCTTGGCCTGTAAAATATACAAACTCAGCATGACTGATTTCATCCTCCCCCTACACACACACACACTAAAATTATACTTTTAAAAAGCAAACATTAGGGACATCTGGGTGGCTCAGTCAGTTAAGCATCTGTCTTCAACTCAGGTCATGATCCCAGGATCCTGGGATCAAGTCGCACCTAGGCTCCTCACTCAGTGGGGACTCTTGTCCCTCTCCCTCTGCCACTCCATTTGTTCTCTCTTTATCTCTCTCTCTCTCTCTCTCTCTCTCTCTCTCTCTCACACACACACACACACACACACATACACAAATAAGATCAGAAAGAAAGGAAGAAAAGAGAGAAAGGCAACTAACATAGTTCTGGTAGCTCAAAGCTGCATCCCTAAGATGACCCTGGCTATCTTTAAAATACTCAAGGCTGCCAAAAAGAATTTAAAATTTGTTCTAGCCAACAACTGATAATAGGCCCTTCACCACCATTTGTTAGAGCATTTGCTAAAAGGGATTTACAATTTGTAAGTCCCTCCTCTCTGCAATTGAGGTGTATATCTCCTATAAATCAGTAGAGTCTCAAGGACTTGAAAGCCATCCCTTTGAAATGTAATCATCAGAAAAAAATAGGAGTCGGTCTCCCCATCTCTGTGTAGCCCACACAGCTGGCCTAATAATTATACCGACCTGTCATTTTGTCATTTATCATTTCCCTAACTCATACTTCTGTCTTTTCATTCTCCCTCCTTCTCCCTTTTTTTTTTTTTTTTATTTATGATAGTCACACAGAGAGAGAGAGAGGCAGAGACATAGGCAGAGGGAGAAGCAGGCTCCATGCACCGGGAGCCTGACGTAGGACTCGATCCCGGGTCTCCAGGATCGCGCCCTGGGCCAAAGGCAGGCGCTAAACCGCTGTGCCACCCAGGGATCCCTCCTTCTCCCTTTAAAACACTCAGCCACCTCTGTACAAATTCAAGATGAATTTGGTTCATGCTGGACCCCTTCCCTATTTCAATAATATATTACTGATTAAAATCTGTTCTTAGCACCTTAAAATGTATCCAGCATTGCTTATCTTTGACAAACTTAAATAGATATAGCCTAGAGTTACATAACTACTAAACAGCTCAGCCACAATTTGATTCTGGAACTCTAAATCCATGCTCCACCTTGTTGACTGTTCCAAACAAGCATAATATGTTGGAAGAAGAGCCAGTGCCAAGTAGAATCAGATGAGTGTAAATAATCATGGGCAAGAGAAGACCCTGAGAACTTAATTTGTCATTCCACAGTACAGCTTTCCTACATCTTTTATGTTAACCAACACCATAGAACTGGGTACTTTTGGGCAAGTAAAATAACTGCTTTGAACCAGTGGATAGTAAAGATGTGAGTTTATTCCACAAGTGAAAAGATGTGATAAAATTCTTTCTCCATCTAGCAGCCAGGATGATCTCAGCGTTCACTAATGACTAAGGAATATCTTCCAAGCTAGCCGGTACTAACAGAGATCTGGGGACTCCATCTTTACTCTTTTGTTTCATTTCTCAAGTTGTTCGGAAGTCAGACAAAGTGCTATGTATGGAAAATGATAGGGACCTCACAAACACACAGCCAAGGTCAAGACCCAAATTTGACAGGGGAAATAATATATTAAAAATCATCCCAGAGTTAGGAGTCTTTCATGTTCTGTCTCCCTCCCTGATACTTCCCACTCATTCTCCTTTCCCCTTTATTCCCTTTCACCATATAATGTCCTAACTCTGGGAAACGAACTAGGGGTGGTGGAAGGGGAGGTGGGCAGGGGGTGGGGGTGACTGGGTGACGGGCACTAAGAGGGGCACTTGATGGGATGAGCACTGGGTGTTATTCTATATGTTGGCAAATTGAACACCAATAAAAAATAAATTTATTAAAAAAAACTATAAAACAATGAAATTTAAAAAAATCATCCCAAAGAGCTTAATTTGCTGACTTTAAATCAGCATGCTTTTCAAAAAATGTTTCCCATACTCAAATCTGCCCTTTCCTTTGTGATTCTTCCCCTGATCTGCTTACAAAGTCCTTTTCCCACAAATTTTAGTTACATTTTCTTATACTTCTTTTATGGTTGCATATATAAAACTGTAAAATTGAGAAAGCACTTTTTTCTCTTTTTAGAAATTAATTGATGTGCATTATGCAATTATCACTCCCTTTCTCCAATACCATTTTTGGAATAATTCTTACTCCCATAATTGTTCATGCCACTTTCATCATATGCTAAATTCTTATTTCCATGTGATATTTTATGTATTGTATTTTCTTGAGCCTCCTGCCTTATTGACCTGTCCAGTCTTGCACTGGGACCAATTCTAAAAGGATAAAGAAATCACGCAGAAAACACGTTCATGGCCCTCCTGGAATGTGCTCTTTGAAATAGCCCTTCCCATGTCCAAAGTTTCCTGCATACCATGTGCTATCTGTGAATGACCCTCTCAATGAACTTAATTCATCCTACTTCCTTATAACACTGGTTCACCGCAGCTATAGAAGAAAGTAGTGAGTGGTGTGGAGAGAGTTCAGCAAATGACAGACCAGGTATACACTTGGATAAAAGAGAAAAATCAAAACAAAGATCTTGGTCATCTCTAGTGAAAAAAAGAAAAATCCCCAGTGGTTACACTACACAACTCTACCTAACATTTTTAAAACAATAAAATTTTTAAAATGAGGAACAGATTACTGGTTCCAAGGAAATGGAGAGGTAGTGGGCAAGAGAGAAGTGTTTAGCTATAAAAAAGCAACACTGCAGGTCCTTGTGCTGATGGAAATGTTTTACATCTTGACTGCAGTGGTGGACAGAAAGCCTTCACTTGATAAGATTGTATAGATCCAAATATATAAGTAAAACTGAGGAAATCTGAATATGATTGGTGGATTGTTTTGATGTCAATATCTTCATTATTGATATTGTAATGTAGCAAAATATTACCATAGAGGAAAACAGTAAAGTATAAGGAATCTCTCTGCTCTTCTTTTACTACTGCATGTAAACCTGCAATTATCTCAATAAAAATTTAGGTCAAAGAAATGCTAAGGCCTTCCCAGATTGTTTTGTTTTTTTGCAACTGCTTGGAAAGGCACCTTGAAATTGCAACATCATTGGAATCTCTCTAAAGCATTGCTTGTAACTTTCTGTTATGATGGAAATACTGTAGATCTGCACTTGTCCAATACAGTGGCCACTAACACATGACTCCTGAGCACTTGAAATATGGCTAATGCAACTAAACACTGAATTTTAAATTGTGTTATTTCGATTAAATTTACATTTAAATAGCTACTTGTGGCTGTGGCTCCCATATGGGGACAGTACACAAATGAGATTCGCTTTTATAGTCCCCTATTCCTCTGTTGTAAATTGGAAATAAGAAGAAAAATCAATTTCCCAAAAATGAACTAATTTACAAACTTTGTGTGAGGACCCATTCCCTCACTTTAAAGTGTGGAAAATAGGGGGATCCCTGCGTGGCTCAGAGGTTTAGCGCCTGCCTTTCGCCCAGGGCATGATCCTGGGGTCCCAGGATCGAGTCCCTCATCCCTGTATGGAGCCTGCTTCTCCCTCTGCCTGTGTCTCTCATGAATAAATAAAATCTTTTAAAAATAATAAAAAATAATAAAATGTGGAAAATAAGATGCATCCTGACGAGTTAGAGTGTGAGCGAGGACTTCAAAAACCTCCCTCCCACCTGTACACTACAGTACCTGGATACAAGTAACCTGATGCCCCTGCAAGAGGCCACCCTGTGACATTTCAGTGAACTTTCCCCATTATGTAAAAACCAACCAAGGATTAGCCACTAGGTTTGCTTTCACATACTTAGGGAAGAAAACAACACACACTCAATCCCTTGCCATGTTACTCCCGGCTTATTCCACAACTATAGTTCCCGAGACTTTAGTTCAAGAGATTTTTTAATTCTTATTTATTTATTTTTTTTTCAGGGGCACCTGGGTGGCTGAGTTGGTTCTGCGTCTGCCTTCCACTCAGGTCATGATCTCAAGGTCCTAGGATCAAGCCCCACGTTAGGCTCCCTGCTCTGCAGGGAGGGAGCCTGCTCCCCGCTCTCCTTCTGTTGCTCCCCTTGCTTCTGCGCCCTCACTATCACTGTCAAATAAATAAAATCTGTTTTATTTTATTCTTTTTTTTAATAAAATCTGTTTTAGAAGGGAGTTTAAAAAAAAAAAAAAAACAACACCGGAAAGCAAAACCTCTGCAAACACCCCACTTCTTCGTCTGCACACGCCAACAGTTTAATAGTTGCGTAAATACGAGGGGAAAAAATCACGGAGAACCAAGGATAAAGGTTCCGTTTCGAAACGCTGAGCGACGAGGGCAGCTGACAGGATTCTATTGGAGGACGGGGCAGCCCCAAGGTCAGGCCGGGCCACACCCCCGCGGGCGCCGCGGACCGGCCCAGGGCCCGGGGCGACCTCCTCGGGAAGCCACGCCCAGGCCACGCCCCAAGCCACGCCCCCCCTAAGCCACGCCCGCCCCGCGCCTGCGTAGAAAGGGCGAGGCGAGGCGCGGCGCGGAGCAAACACCCCCTTGCAGGTGCGCCCTGGCCGCAGCCATGTCCGCAGCCTCCCGCGTGGCGCTGGTGACCGGGGCCAACAAGGGCATCGGCTTCGCCATCGCGCGCGAGCTGTGCCGGCAGTTCTCGGGGGACGTGGTGCTCACGGCGCGGGACGAGGCGCGGGGCCGGGCGGCCGTGCAGCAGCTGCAGGCCGAGGGCCTGAGCCCGCGCTTCCACCTGCTGGACATCGACGACCTGCAGAGCATCCGCGCCCTGCGCGACTTCCTGCGCAAGGAGTACGGGGGCCTCGACGTGCTGGTCAACAACGCGGGCATCGCCTTCAAGAGTAAGGGGATGGGAGCTAGGAGGGCAGGTGCCCCCGGGCTCCTCCAGCCGGCGTGGGCCCCTCTGTCGAGGAACCCCTGGGGTCAGGCTCGCAGCGCCCCAACATCCAAAATGGCTCCCCAGTGTAGGACGAGGGGTGGGGGCGCAGGGCAGGGGCTGGAGCGGAGCCGCAGCGGTTGCAGTGCTTTCCAACCAGAGTGACCGTTGAGATTCCCGTGATTCCTTGGGACACTTTTTCCAGATTATCAGAGTTTCTCTGGCGTTGGGCTTTAGGGCATTTGGGTGGATTTTTATTGGTTTTGTAATAAGCAAGACAACTGCACACGTTGGTTGACAAGACCTCCCCTGTGAGCACCACCCTTCTTCACCCAGCCTCCGCCAGCATGCCGGTCTTGCAACACCACGTAGTATCATAAGAGAATTGTGACTGATGCCAGTTTTACACAAAAATTCACCAGATTTCACATGCACCTTCATACTACGTATGGTTCTCTGGAATTTTACCAAATGGACGCTAGTAATGCTATTCTCTCTCTCTCCTCCCCCCACCAACCCCGCCCCCCAAGCTAATGATCCCACGCCGTTTCACATTCAAGCAGAGGTGACCATGAAAACAAACTTCTTTGGAACCCGAGATGTGTGCACAGAGCTGCTGCCTCTCATGAAACCCCAAGGTGAGCCTGATGAGGGGGCCAAGCTGTGGTGTTTCTAGCAGGATCTGACCCCTGCCTCTCTGGTCTCATCTACATGCCCTGGCCCCTTTCCCTGCTCAGCCACACTGGCCTCCTTGCTGTGCCTCCCCCCGGGACTCTGTTGCTCCGCCTGGCGACTCTTAAAATTACCTGTGAGTCAGCAGTGCCCTGTGTCCTGCTTTCATCTGAGGCTCTGTCTTAACCTTCGTGTCTTCCTTCAGAACGCTCTTCAGAGAGGCCATTTATTGGCTCCATGCCACTCACAGATGCAGTTGACTGAGAATTCCTTCCTGGACCCTTTCTTCACCCTCTCCTCTCTCTGAGCGATTTTATTCAGACCAGTGGACTCCACTACACAAACTTTTCTGGCCCCTCGAAAATATATCACCTGCCTAGAACATTTCCAGAGCTCCAGACACACATGATGCTCTTCCTGTCTCTCCTGCTCACCATGCCCTCCCACGGCCTGTCCGGCTGGGTACAGACCCCTCCCCATGGCCTCCAAGAGACCTGCACACTCACATGTGGCCATAGCTGCTGATGACCGGTGGTGTGTCTCCAGCAGATGGGGCAGGTGTACTGCCCCGCCAGGCTGTTGCCACCCTCTGCAGGCCAGCCTGGGAGCTGCCATGGTAAAGCCAAGGCCACCAGGATGTGAGACGTGCCATCCTGGAGCTCGCCCAATTCCACCCCAGGTACCCCTGTCCGGCCTTCCTGCCTATGTTTGGATTCTTTTCCATGACCATATGGACAACTGTACATATATATTCTCTACCTTGAGATTTTCTTAGTGACATTTTCTTTTCTCTAGCTTCCTTTTTCTAAGAATACAGCATACAGTAGTGCATAGACGACATGTGAGTTCATCAGCTCTTTCTGTCAGCATTTAAGCGAAAAGGCTATTAGAGAGCAAAAACAGAATTAAAGTAACAAAATTATTGATTGGCTATAACACCAAGCCTGCTTGCCTGTTTGGGATCAGTGGTCCTGTAGCTTCAATTTTGTAACTGTGAGGCATTTACAAGCTTAGGTTTGGGTTTGCTACACAGGCCACCTTGTTATTAGAGCCACGTCAGTCAGATGGCCTCCTTGTTTCATTCATTTAACACTGTAGAAATACGCTGACGGCTAGCTAAATCCACTTCTTCATCAGGCTAGTCATTTTCCATCAGGACTGCATCCTGAGGAGGCTTGACTCAGTCTTCCATCAAGATCGCTATCAACATGAGATTCATGGATAAATGCTGGTTGAGTAGGGCTCATTAGCCTGGTGTGACACCTCATCACACTACAGTGGCACACCTAACCGGAAAACAAGAATCAAGAGATGCTGGCACATATCTAGAGTCCCACTCAGTGACTAGCAGTATGTTCTGTTCATCACTGTATCACATGGCCATATCTCCCACAGTGGTGCCACTCAATTGCTCAGGCTTATGTTCAGCCTAGTTCAGCTCCCAAACACACAAGTGGGCTTGGCAACATGTAGGCTTCAGCCTTTTGGGCATCTGGTATAATTGAGCTAAGAGATGGTATCCTCTCCTCAGAGCAGTGAGCTTCTCGAGGCACCTGTGTATTGTTGGATGCCTCTTATTGCAAGACCCATTATTCGTGCCTTTACCCTCATTCTCCTCCTCCCTGTAATCTTCACTCACCTTCGAGGGACTTCAAGGTCAACATCTGTGCTGGTCCCGATGACTTGCAATGATACTACTCAATCTAGTGCCTTCCCTCCTGCCCACTCCCATTCCTATAGGTCAGGGCTGCATAGGTCTAGACGAGTGGGCTGGCACAACCACTGTGCAATACAGCTATGTTGACTGTCAGTCCAGTTTTGCCAGACAGGGGAAGGCACCGTCCACTCCATTATGTCCTTAGGAATTCTGACATCAAGATTTAAAGCTATAGTTACACAGTTTCTTGCTTAGACATTATCCTTGCTTCTTATTTCCACAGTTGCAGCCCTGGTCCCAGGACCATGGTGTGAGCAGGAAGCAAAGGAAGTTGAGATGGTGTGGGAAAGAATTGTAAGGTCAAGGCAGCATCCTCCCAAACCCCCTCTTCCCCACATTCCCCAGTGAAGCAGTGGGGAAAGTCCCTTGCCCCCCGCCCATGTTGAGTGTGAATACATGCTCATGAATGTGTGTAAGCCCTACATACTTTTCATCTGGTGTTTGAGACAAGCAAGGATTGAGATGCCTGTTCCAGTTCTCTATGGAACCACTCCATGCAGAGGAAAATGTGTTGCTTGGCCTGCAGAAATGTAACCCGTTAGGCTAAATTGTCACACTATCTTCTGTTCTCATCCTCCTGTACTGCTTGAACATTGGCATCTTCCTCTGGGTTTACTCAAAGTTTGGTCCAGAAATAGGGTCTTTACTTGTCTGGACCTATATGGAACCTCCAGGGCTACTATCTTCCACCCAATTTGACAGCCATGTGCATGGCCATCCTTTGGGAAATCACCCCCATAACAATCTCCAGTCTTTGTCTCTTTTGCTGAGAAGTACAAGAGTCCTTCACATGTGTTTGACTCACAGGGTGCAAGAGTCTAAGTCAACAATAACCCCAGCTCTGCATTGCTGCCATGGCCCCATTTCCACTCACCTCAGGGACAGTAGGGCCATGTCATACAAGCACACCAGGATATCCACTTGCTGGTTCCAGTCCCACTCCAATCCTGAAAGTGGTTCTTCTGCTGGGCATTGACATATCCTACTTTATCCCTTAAATTGCCATAGTGGACTGCACAGGGCCACTATGCCCTATATGGAAGTCCTTCAGTCCTCCGGCTTTCCAGTGCCTCTCTTCATGTCTGTATTCTCAGGCCGTAACATACTCCCAAGTTCATAAAATCCCTATCATAGACAAATCACCATACAAGCCATGGAACCCTGTTAATTTGTTTCTACCATCCTTGAACAGTAAAGCAGCCTTCCAAACCAGATGGAACTGCCCACCTTAAACCAATCAGCTCTCTGAGGGTCAGTAGAGGCCTGTTTGTAGAGCACTCCCCCAGTGACCATAAGATCCTCAGTAGGTCCCAAAAGCAGCCTTAGGGAGAAGGAGGTAATCTACTCTTGAATACAATGAGTGTCTAACTCTCTCCTTAGCAGGTTCTTGTATAAACCATTTCCATTTTCCTGTGGAACATCTCAGGGCCCACCTTGTAGAACGTTGGTAGACATCATCAGATACCTTAAGGGTGTAACAAGTTTCAAGACCTTATCATACCCTTCACTCATACAGGCAGTCTTTATTATGCTCCTTGTAAACTAAAAAGATCTCAAGAGGAAATTTTCTAGAACAAAATCTGAGTAAAATTGATATCCATCAATCTTGTGCCTTTCTATGTAACATTTTGCCTTGTATTTTAGGCAGAGTGGTGAATGTGTCTAGCGTGGTGAGTGTCCGAGCCCTTAAAAGCTGCAGCCCAGAACTACAGCAGAAGTTTAGAAGTGAGGCCATCACAGAGGAGGAGTTGGTGGGGCTCATGAACAAGTTCGTGGAAGACACAAAGAAAGGCGTGCACAGAAATGAGGGCTGGCCTGATAATGCCTATGGAGTGACAAAAATCGGTGTCACTGTCCTGTCTAGAATCCATGCCAGGAAGCTGAGTGAGCAGAGGAGAGATGACAAGATCCTCCTGAATGCCTGCTGCCCTGGGTGGGTGAGAACAGACATGGCAGGACCTAAAGCCCCTAAGAGCCCAGAAGAAGGAGCAGAGACCCCTGTCTACTTGGCCCTTTTGCCCTCAGATGCTGAGGGGCCTCATGGAGAGTTTCTTATGGAGAAAAAAGTTGAACAATGGTGAGCTTAATTTAGGCCTTCATCCACGGAACCCTTTAGGATAACCCCCTCCTTTGACCAAAAGGATTCTTCCATTTTCAATAATAAGCCTTTCCACAGCAAAAAAAAAAAAAAAAAAGAACAGAAAAGAAAGAAAAAGAAATTGTATAACATATCCCTATTAAGCATGGAGTTGGAATAGGCTACTAATTGTGTGAAGGTGTTTTTGTTTTCTTCTGTAATACAGGGACAGAAAACATGAAATCATGAACCTAGAGATGAATAAATATTCATTTATAAATGCCTCTTTGCAGCCTCTATATGGTGAACCAGCTGAGAAATCTGCTACGCCTAAGATATCATGAGATCAGGAGAAGTTAGAATTTCACTCAAGGGTGAGCAAACATTATGCAAAGGGGCAGGGAGTAATATGTTTATCTTTGCAGGCCACACACTCCTCCCTGTTGCATTTACTCAGATCTGCTGCCGTAGCATGAAAGTAACCACAGGATGCAAACCAGTGAGCATGGCTGTGTGTGGCATGCATCCTATTTTACCAGCCTCTAGTAGAGCATGGACAACACCACGAGGGGAAGACATCCCCTGTGGTCTCTAAATATCAGACTCATTGGGAAAATAACAATTGCCAAGTGTGAAATGGCAGTGGCATGTAAGATACATCTATTGGACAATTTGAGACAATGGGGAAGATTGAGTAGAGACTGGGTTCCGATAACAAGTCCCCGGGAGTGGGGCCCAAGACACCGGTGTGACCAAAGATTCTTACTGTCCCATCTAAGCCCTTGGTATCCCTGTGGGACTGACTGAACATCCCCCACATGCTTCCCTTCACAGGAGCATGAATGTTGCAAAGATGCCTGTACTCTACTGATTACTCTTTACTCTTCACAGGGATTTTCAGGCTTACCCAAACCATAGGTGATACACCCTGAAAGCAAGGTTAGGGTCCTTATGTTAAAAGTATTTCACTTTTTCACATCAAAAGAGCTGAAAAATTACCATTATTTTTCATTTGTAAATGGACATAGGAGGAATATTAATGTATAGGAAAAAACCATAGTATCCTACTACCAATTTCCAAAAATAACTCTGGTGCCACAAAGGTCTTTCCTTTATACCTTAACATTGAATTATATAGAACACTTTTTAATTGTGACCTTAAACCAAAAATAGGCACTTTAGGGAAACGGAGTTATGTAACCATTAAATCAAACATCTAATCAATATACCTTGGCCCATAGATTCATAGACATCCTGTCCCACTTGAGGACCCCTGGAATCACCCAGAGGGGGAACCCTGCCCACATCCAAGTCTGAGCACGGGACCCAATCCTCTTTCGCCCTCTTAAGTTTCTCCTAAGAAAGTAAGGGTTCCGGGTCCTCAGAAGCACTTCCCCTGTGCCAGCAATTTCACTGTATCTTAGAAGAACCCAAAGATTCCCATTCTACAGAGGAGGACTCTTCCCGAGAAAATATCCAATACTCCATTTTTTTTTTCTGTTGAGGTTTTCCCAAAATTTAATTCAACTACCATGATTCTCTAGCTCCCTGTACTCCATCACGAACCACCTTTCTTTTGGGGAACATGTCAGTCCAACGTGAACCATATCTGGGTTCAGAAAAGTGACCCTAAGAGGTCAGAGTCCTGTTTGTGTTCAGGGTTCACAGGAGACATACTTTGTACAAGTCATTAGGAAATCTGGAACATTTGGCTCCTCCTTTGATGGAGGGACTGAAGCTCCTCTAGGAGCCTACTGCTCGATAACAGACACATTTCTGCTCTCATCTCTTGACTGTGGCCAAGGCTCTGGAACACCACCTCACTCCCTGTGGCCAAAGCATCAGTCATTCACCACACAGGCTGGTGCTTGCACTCCATGCAACCATGTCGTCATACCCCATGAGGCGGTAGTGACTGGAGCTAACAAGAGCCTTGACTTCGCCATCTCAAGGGACCTGTGCCGGAATTTCCCTGGGGACATGGTGCTCACTGTGAGAGACAAGGCACCTGGAGGGGCAGCCAGGCAGCATCTCAAGGCTGAATGCCTGAGCCTGCACTTCCACCTGCTGGACATTGACAACCTGCAGAGCATCCGCACCCTGCGTGACTTCCTGTGGGAGGAGTTTGGAGGCCTGGATGTACTGGTCAACAATGCAGGCATCACCACCAAGTGTAAGAACATGGGAACACTTAGGGCAGGGGATCTCTGTTAGGGAACCACACAGAGTGGGTTGGGGATGATGCCTGAGCCACTACTATGGGGTCTGGAAGGGCTTCCCTGGGGAAGGAGGTCAGACTGCAGGCACAGAGAGACAGAAGCCTCTGGGGGGTAAGTCTTATAGCCACAGTGCCTTGGTATCCCCATGGAAATACAAGGGACCTGACCTAGTTTTTTGGGTGTTTTTTTTTTCTCAATTTGGATCTGAGCCATTTGGTGAATATTTAACCTATTTTGTAAGAAACAACAAATTGCAAACAGAGGTAAACAGAAATCCCATTGTGCCCACTTCCCTAGCCTCCCCAAATGATGCCAGCTTACACAGCTACACGGCATCAGCACAACCGATAAACCACCTTGAGACCATACAGTCCACTAATCCAGACGTTGCTGGATTTCAATAGAATGAACATGAAAACTAAAAGAATGTATTTGTCATATCCTGGAATCCTCTCAGATGGCTACTATTTATTAATCTTCTCTGCTTCTCCCCTAATAGCTCATGATCCCACACCCCCACATATTCAAGCAGAAGTGACCCTGAAGACAAACTTCTTTGGCACCCGAGATATATGCACAGAACTGCTGCCTCTAGTGAAACCCCAAGGTGAGCCTGATGAGGGGCCCAAGCTGTGCTGTTTCTGGCATGATCCGGCCCCTGAACTCTGGCCTCATCCAGAAGATCCTGGCCCTGCTCAGCCAGGGCCTGGCCTCCTTGCCCGGGAGAGGTGTCCCTCTGCCTCAGGACTCTGACACACTTGCCCTGCGGTCAGCAGTGTCCTCTATCCCTCTACTCTTCCACTAGAGGCACTGACTGTCCTATCCTTCAAGTCTTCATTCAAAACTCTCCTCAGAGAAGCCCTTTGCTTCCTCCATGCCCCTCACAATGCACTTCCCTGGGATTCCTCTCTGGACCCTTTCTTCTCCCTCTCCCTCTCTCTGACAGATTTTATTCAGACCAATGGACTCTGCTATCCAAATGTCTCTGCCCCCCGCCAACATCTGTCACCTGCCTAGAACGTTCCCAGAGCTCCCCACGCACATGCTTCCACACCCAAATCCTGCCCCTCCAGCCCTCAACTCTCCCTCATTTAAACATCTACATTATCACAGCACTTATCATTTTCAAAAACATCCTGCTCACATAGCCCACAATCCACCAATCATAAATAATGTGGTCACTGTGCCCAGCTCCCGATCATCAGGGACCAGGTCTTAAGAGTGGTCCTATGGGTTTTGTCCTCTGCATTTTTCTGCAGGCCTCTCCTCCATCCCAGCTCTACAACGGATACTCAGCTATCATTTCTGGATCATTCCAACTTTCCTAAGAGACCCTACTTCTGAGTCCTTTACTCTGAGGTCATTCTCTGTACCTTCTGGGGGTTCACTGTCTCCCAAAATTCCTACAGGAGCTCTGAGCATCATTTGTAGGGATCTCTGTCATCAGACCTGCCAAAGACCTGGCCCATGGATTCCCCTTCACTTTCTGCAATGCTCTGCACAAGACAGACTGCTGTCATTCCTTGGTTGTAAACTACTGTAATCCTTACCCCATGTGAATGTGATGGGGGAGCCACCACCCATGTACTACACTAATTAAGATAAGCTGATACTTTTAGAATGATTAGGATATCTCCCTTGAAAGAGTACATGCAGGTACTCTTTCACTCCCCGTTCTGCCCCCAATTCCTCTTCTGTCCTGGAAAGTTCTCGTACTTTTTGCAACACTCCCTTCACTGGCATGTGGCAGGGCAGCTCTCAGATGTCACCTGTCTCCTTTACTCACCACAGACCTTGAAGGTGGGATGAATTTACTTGTGCCCCCCCACACACATCGTACAGGTGCTCCCCTTAGAAGGCAAAATGCTTCTGCCTGAGTTTGGATCTCACTTACCTCAACAGGGTTGGCTATTGCTGCCTTGTTGGCCTTGGACCAGAATGAGGAGTGAGCGCTCTCCTGGATTTGCTAAGGCAGGTTCTAATCAAACTCTACTGATCTTGCCTCGGGGAAACTAGACTGCATGGACATGGACAGGCAAGCTCTATTCTCCTTGTGAAAGTAGGGTTTTCTTGCCTATTGCAAGAGGAGAGATCTTCCCTTAGGTGGGGGGATGGCAGCCACAGTGTTTCCTGTGACCAAGACTTTACCCTCTTTGGAGATCCTATTTGAGAGAAATCTTAGCTAGGATAACCAAAAGCAAATATTGTCCCTCCTCTCCCATACTGCGAAACTAGGATACAAAGAACAGTCTTGAATGACTTCACCAGATCTCTGTGGTTAAAGAACAAAGTCCAAGGGCCCGTTTCTGCTCTATTGGCTGTTTTTTTGGTGTGAAAGAGCAAAACTAAAGAGAATTGTGACATTAAAGACATTGAGGAATAGGAGGTGCTGCTATTTCATATTTTTAATCCTTTCTTCAAAAAGAGTTTTACAGAAATAATTTAGCCATTAAGAAAAGATAAGAATCTACCCAACCAGGTGGCCACCACTGATCTTAACCAGGCAATCGGTATCTAGGCCATGAACATCCCTTCCCACATCCATTGCTTTTCCCTCCCATTCCCTTGAATTCATATTCCTTTGAATCATTTGAGTGATCCACTCTTTAAAGTGCTAAACTTCTATTCTTCTTTTTTTCTCTTTTAATCTATATGTACTTATTTTAAAAAATATTAAGGTATACCCATGTTGAAGGAAGTGAGCAAAAGTTTGAAATTTGAAAACTCCTGTTCATCAGATATTAGCTAAAGTACTAGGAGAAAATACAGACTTGTAAGGCTACCCTTACAAAGGAAACCTTATCAAAAGGATTCATAATCTTCATTTGAGAAGATCTAGTATAAAAGGTAACTCTCTCTCTTTCACTCTTACATACACACACACACACACACACACACACACACTGACATACTGTTGTCCTTGAAGGATTGGTGGCTAGATGGAATATTTATATATTATCCCCATTCAGAAATGGAAGAATAATGGCTCTCAAGGACACAATCACAGCGGATTGCAGACTGAGGTCATGTGGCATCCGAACGATTTTTCAAACTACACAAGCAC